GGTGTTATCCCCAGTCGACTTAGTAGCGCTTTGGGCTGCATTGAAGATGGACGGGGTGCTGTTTCCCGAGCCAGACAAGGGTGTACCAAAGATGCTGCTGGTTGTGCTCGGTGCGCCAAAGAGGTTGGTCGTCGCGGGCTTCGCCGCAGCTTGGTTGGACTCGCCACTGCTGGCTGGGGTGAGGGAGGTGGGAGTGTTAAAGGGAGATGAGAAGTTGGAGGACCCGAAGAGACTCGAAACATTACCCTTTTGCTCCTCTTCACCCTGGCGCTTGGGTTTTCCGTCCTCACCATACTGAACGCGATCGAAAAGGCTGCGACCACCAGCTTCGGGCTCCTTGGCTGGGGACTCGGCAGATTCAGACTTCTTGTCAGCTGAACCAGCATTATCCGTCGCATCGTCGGACTCGTCGCCAGGAGTAGAGGCTTCCTCGGTGTCATCCGCATCGTTGTCATTGTCGTTGTCTTCGGCCTCAGATGGAGTCGCCGACAGATGACCAAAGATATTGTTCGACTTGACTGCAGCGTTGTTTTGGCTTGAGAAGACGGTGCCAGCGCCGGGGGTGGTGGAAGAGGATTCCTCTGCCTTCTTTGCAGGAGACTCGTTGCTCTCATCTTCAAAAACGAAGCCTTTACCAGGGACGAACTTTGCACGCTTCTGGGTTTGAGTCCCAAACTGCTCTTTCTTTTTCCGTTGCTCCTCAGCGTCACGACGTTCCCACTCGGCTTCGTCTTCTTCCTCCGAGTCAAAGTCCTCGGCCTTGCGCTTCTCTTTCTCCTTCTCGGCATCCTCAAAAGACCGGGCCTTGAACTGGGCAAAGAAGTCTGTGCCACCTGCAGAGCCTGTGGAAGAGCCGTCACTGGAGGTAGGCTTCAGTACAAAGGGGTTCTTGGGAGCGGTTCCAGGTGCGGCTGATGCTGAGGTAGCACTAGACATGGACGAGGAGAAAAGCGAGGTGGAAGCCGAACCCTTCGAAGTCGAATCTGAAACAGAGAACAGAGGTTTGGCGGGTGCCGTAGTTGGCGTAGTAGAGAACAGAGCGGGTTTAGTAGCTTCGGGGGTGGTCGGCTTGGTCACGGCAGGTTCAGGCTTGTCAGCCTCGGTCTTGGACTTCGAGAATGACTGAGCAAATATGTTTGCAGTGCTGGAGTCTCCGTTCGCGCGCTTAGCAGGGCTGTTGCCATCGCCTTCATCGATTGACTTTCTCTTGGCATTTGCCGGAGAGGCCTGGCTTGTGCCAAACGCCTTGAACGGTGTGGAGCTTTGTGCGGTAGAGTTCTCCTTGGGTGTGTCAGCCTTTTCGGTTGGGATACTAAATGGCCGAGCTTTCTTAGTTGCAACAGCATCCTCAGTTTCGCCTGATGCCTTGCGCTTTGAACCAACGGAAGCGCCAAGGGTGGCGCGAACACGCATGTAAAACTGAACAGCGGTGTCGAAGTTCTGACTCGAGGGGTCCAATTTAGCTAGTTCGCGCTGGAAGCACTCGTTCAGTGTGCGCATGCGATAAAGCATCTCAGCATCTTCGGAAGTTTTCTTATCCGTTGTCCTCTCTGCCAGTTTCGGAGTCTGCATCTGTCCAAAAGTAGACGGTGCGGTGTTTCCATTGGTGAAAACTGGAGGTGTGGACTTGGCACCATTGACCTTGACGGCACTATCAGCGGGAGCAATAGAAGTTGAAGCCACCGTTGCTTGAGTCTCCGTGGCGGGAGCCGGTGATGCTGCAGGTTTGGGTGAGAAAAGATTGGAGGTTTGGGAGAAACCACCACTTGAAGGGGTAAAAGACACTGTACCAGGGGTGGCCTGCTTTTCCAGTTCGCTCGTCTTTGCTGCATCGTTGGGAGCACTTGGCTTGGAAAAAAGACCCTGGAAAGGTGTGGAAGAGGAGGGAAGGGGCTGCTGCTCGCCTGCAGGTTTGCTCGGAGTAGCCGGCTTCGCAAACAAGCCACCAAAGGGGTTTGCTGGCGCCTTCGTCTGTTCCGAGTCTGCAGTTGCAGGTGGCTTAGGCTCAAAGAGATTCTTCGTAGACGAAGTCTGGAACAAACCAGTCGAAGGAGCAGCCGGAGCTGGAGAGGCAGTGGCATCGCTCTTGGCAAACAGAGAGCCTGGTGTAGTAGTTGATGCAGAGAACTGGAATGGAGATTTAGGCTGCGACTCGGCAGGCTTTGGCTCTTCCTTCTTCTCTTCGATGGGCTTTTGCGATGTCGAGGGCGTGGTTTGGAAGAGGTTCGATGACTGGAAAGGATTCTGGAATGGCGTAGAGGGCTTCGCGGGCGAAGCAGCGCCGAATAATGAGGATGATGCCGGAGCAGCGGTGGTCGCAGCAGGCGCGGCGGGTGTCGAAGCAGAAGGGGTAGGGGTGGCAGCGCCGCCAAACAATGATGTTGAAGGGGTGGTTGCCTTGAAATCAAAGACGGGCTTGGAGGGTGTCTCTGCCGCCGACGAAGCAGATGCGCCAAACAATGAAGTGCTTCCAGCGCCCGCAAAGCTAGGCTGAGCCGGAGGAGCGCTACTAAAGATGGACGGTTTCTCCTGAGAACCGCTACCCTTTGCATCAGGGGAAGTTTGCATCGAGTCATCGCCACTAAAAGCTGAGGATTGACCGAATGGGGACGGCTTCTTCACGCTAGACTGCCCGAAGAGATTCGTTGAAGGCGTACTAGCAGCAGCCGCATTGTTTTGGCCGAATATGCTTCCTGAGGCGGGAGTAGCCGCACCAGAGGCAGAAGGGCCATTGTTTGTGCTGGCGCCGAAGAGGCCACCCGTGCTAGCGTTCGATTGGGATGATGTGCCAAATATTGAGCCTGAAGGCAACGGCTGCTGAGCGGGGGATTGGCTTCCACCCGGAGGAATGTTAAACATTGAGCCCTGAAAGCCCGAGAAGCTGGCCGGTTTAGATGACTGGTCGGAAGTAGTAGTGTTCATACTGGCGAATGGATTGCTAGCCGAGCTTGTACCGCCAAAGGATGAAGAGAAATTGAAGGAAGAAGAGGAGCTTCCACCCCCTCCAGAGCCAAAAGCAAATGGAGTGCCTCCGTTCTGGCTGGGTGCCGAACTAGCTCCTGGAAAACTTTGGTTCTGACTCTGGCCGAAAGTAAATCCGTTGGAGGCTGGCTGGGAACTAGCGGGTGTGGATGAGACTGTGTTAGGGTCGATGGAAGCGAAAGGGCCTCCGCCGAACGACGGCGCGGGAGCACTCGGGGCAGCACTGTTGGGACGACGCCTCCGAACGTCTTTGATTCTAATAACAGGGTTAGCAACGAGATGGTGATTGGTTGACGTGCAAAGGAGATTGATGAGCGAGATGATAAGATAAAGCATGAGGTGGAGTGGTATGAACGTGTGGAGAAGGCGAAGTGTTAGATGAAAAGAGAATACACAAGTAAGGGAAAAAGAAAATAGAAAGTGACGGGAGATCAAGGTCAAGCCCTGTTTTCAACACGCGTCCCAGTAACTTTGGAGGCTGCAGGACAAGTGAATGATTGCATGCATGAGATTGGCCGTAAAGGTCGGTCTACATCCACTTACTTTCTGTTCGCAAGCTGCGCCGCGGTTGCCCGCTGCGGCTTATCGTCCGGTGTGCTCGACATGTTGAATGCAAATAGATCGCTGTCCTTGTCCCCTTGAGGGCCCTGGGCCGATCTCTTAGACATCTATAGTTGAGCCCCCGATGTCTTCAGCGGCGAGATCCTCGATGTTTTTCAGACAGTAGTTGACTTCAGCCCCTTCTTGTGTGTCCGGTTTCACCCCTTAAGGACCGTGCGGCATGCACAGTGTACAATTATTCACTGCGTACAGATGATATCCGGGGACGGCAGTTGACCTCTCGAGTCCGTCCGGTAGGATCTGTGCCCGTAGCTCCAGAGACTCCTAAAGGCACGTCGGTTGATATACGGGGTCTCTTAAACAAGTTGGTGTGAATGGATCCGCGAGCCAAGCGATCAACGTATTCCGCGCAGGTGTCGTATCGAAGAATCGCGAGTGATTTGGTCAGAATCGGTGAATTATCCAAACATAGACCTGTCCAGGAAGTGAGGGCAGGTTATGGCGCGATCGTCTGGTGAAAGAGTCGCGCAGCGCGAAACTAGCGAGGCCACGAGACCAAAACGGGATCAAGGGAGGAGGGAAGGGAGTTGAAAGGCAGAGCAGTGAACGTTAGGTACTGCTAGATGTAGTGATGAGGAGGCGCGGCTCCATTCGATGCGCTCTGCCTTGGTGAAGATGGGGGGATGTGCTCAAGTGAGCTTCTATTTTTTAGCCTTGAAGCGTCGGCTCGCGACTTTTGCCGGCAAAGAGGGAAGGTTGCTGGCAGAAAAAATTACGGTCACGTGATACCTATGCAAGGTGACATCTTGGCGGGATGACATAAAGGCGCTTTCGCTTTTTTTACGTGCCCCAGGCGAGGCGACCTTGAGCCATGGTCGACCAGGATCTTGCTTAGCAAAGAGTCTCTCTACTAGGTTAGCCGGCGGCCAGTATCATAATGATGATGATGGGGCTCTTTGGCTCTGAAGGGGTTCTTTCTTTTGTTCTGCAAACCCCCATCCATGTCTTCCGCATTCTGTATTATTACGATAATTACACAGACATCCTGAAGAGCAGGCGGCATGTCAAACGGTACCCTTACGGGGGTATTATGATTTCTTCCCACTTCGGGTCACCCGCAACCCTTTCACCTTCTGGTTTCCATGGCAGGTTCCCTCATTCTCGCAGCTGCAGGGCGTGCCGTTTACGCAGCACGGATAGTTGACACCTACATGTGTCTATTTAATTGATATTCTCGATGGTCAGAGAGTGCCGATCTTATTCTCGCTATATTTAGTGAACTAAATATTTGGTGAGGGTACTAACATAGGAGTAATAGTAAGTAAGTATAGTGTAGTACTATGGCAGTGCGACCACTGCTTCGGCAAATATATACTTCATCGGCATGACGTGACCACTCAGCACAGTTTGGATTTCAGCAAACGGAAAACCACCGTGATAAAAGCCCGATAACGGAGTGTAGATTGACGTGACAAAACATGGCCATAAATTCAAAATTTGCCCTTTCTCCGAAATTGTCTCTTCCTCACCCTAGTTGTAATTCCTAATCATCATACAGCTTTGGTGAGCACTAGAAGCAACTGACTGAAATGACGTCGCAGCATTCTTAAGCCTACCCCCTAGCACATAGATAGTCCTTGACGAAATACACGAGCAGTGCCCAGTGACCTACAGTAAAAGATACCAAATGGTAAATAGAAAGAATATAATAACAGCAGTGTTTCACTGTCGATGTTTCAACTGTAGCAAAAAAATAACGAGCAAAAAATCGGGTATCTATAGCTTGGCCTTGCCCTGTGCCTTCTTCAGGACGGGCTCCATCTTGGTCGCCTTCATAATGTTGCCCTTAATCTTAAGCTTTCCACCCATAAAAAGTCTCTGAGCGTTGGCCTTGCCGCTTACGAGGGCAGTGAAATCAGCATCCGAAAGGGAAAGAGTCACTGCAATAACATCGAAGTCTCATCAGTATCGAATTCATTATCTGATGCAGAAGTTGATTGAACTCACCATCAGCCTTTCCTCCCTCGGGAGCAGCACCCTTGCCCACGACACCCTTGTCCTTGAGATCGAGATACCAGCTCTCTTCTTGGCCCTTGTCGTTCTTGATGTTGAAAGCGACGACCGCCTTAGCCTTGTTGATGGCCTCTTTGCGCTCGGCAGCATCAGCCTGTAGAGTCGAGTTGATGGCGTCGAAGGCGGCAGAAGAAGGGAAAGCGTCTGTAAGGGTGTCAACAAGGATCAGCCACAGCTCATGATTAGGATGGCGACCAGAGGATAGACGTACCGTTCTTGAGAGACATGGTGAGTATGAGAGGAGATAGAAAGGGTTCACAGACAATGAACGAAGAGGTAAGGAGTGAGTAAGTTTTGATGTAACCAGAAGAAGTCAGACAGGCTATCACCGAGGAGGGACCGGAGTTATATAATAATAGCAGCGCTGGACCCCGGGGGTTGCTTATTATTGCGGCGAGAGCTTCCCCGGAGAGTTCGGGCGACGGAACATGTGAAATGGAGGCGGTCGCGGCACGCTTGGACCGAGGCTGTCCACTACTAACTAACTGTAGAATAATTACTAGTCAGTCAGCTAGCCAGTCTTTCTTGCTGATAAACTCTCAACGACCCAACACCTTTCTCGGTCTCGGAGATCTACATACATCTTTACTCCGTTACCGCTTCCCCATATGGTTGTTTTAAGTAACCTGACCGAGGACCATTTTGCAAGTCGGATACTGATACCCACATGCAAGCGATCCTGTCTCGTGTGACTTGGCGCTCTCACACATCCACCCATCATTGTCCGCGGGATCGCCACAAATGATCTCATTTGTTCCCGCCTCAGGCAGTTTTCTACTCACTTGGCAATACCAGGGTTTCTACACAGTATACAATTTGAGACGCAAATACAATCATTCGTTTCCTAAAACCAACTAATCTCTAACCCGTATCCATTCTACCAAACTCGGCACGGCAACTCTTACTGATCGCCGCAATACAAAGGCTTCCAGACATCGCCTTTCGTGGCCCAACTTCATTCACACGTAACCGAGTTACGCTTCTTACGCCGCACAGTGAGCTTTGTGGTCACGGGTGGCAGCTGGAAACGGCCCCATCCTACATGATTATTGGTCAACACTGTCTCCTGCTTATAATGAATACCCATCAGCGGAACTTACTGTGAATCTTAGGACGCACTAAGATAGGCTGAATGTCATAGTTTAGTAGCATCTCCGCGATGAACACCTTGAAAATGTGGGCGAAGATAAAGCGTCCAGGGCACTGCCGACGACCGTGACCGAAGACCACATACTCATCGCTGGGTGTGGTCATCGAACTCTCACGTCTCTCGCTTTCAGATGCATTCTCGGTGTAAAATCGGTAGGGATTGTATCTATCCGCCTCCGGATAAAATTCCTCATCCCGGTGGAGGGCATACTGGGGGATCCCAACCTTTGTCCCGTAAGGCAGGAAAAGACCGTTCGCAAGAGTGACACCATTGGGGGCGATAACCTGCATTGTAAGTGAGACCATGAAGTGAAAAAGGGGAAAGTAAGAATTTCGTGCATACCTTTCTCGTCGGGCTGGCAGCGTTAATGCCGTTCAACCGGAGGCTCTCTTTCACAGCACTGTCCAGCAGTGCAGCCCTTTCCAGGTCCTTTGCCGTCCAGTCCCCACTTGAACTACCAGCAATGCTCTCAACTTCTGCTCTGAGATCGTTGACAAGATTCTCATCAACCGGATCACTCAGAATATCGAGAAGAACACTTGTAGCAGACACTGCAGTCGTGTGTACGCCCGGGAAATTGATCATGAAGATTCTATATGATAGCCACATGGACGTGGCTTCCATCGGCCATTTGCTGCGAAGTCCGGCCCGAATGAGCAGGTCCAGCAAGCTATCCTGAGGGAAAGTCAGCACTAGTTCGAAAATTGTGGGCAGGGTACTCACCATAGACTTTAGTATTTCCTCTTGGGCTTCGGGATCCGTCTGCTTTTGCTGCTCTTTGATCTTGGACTCAATAATAGGCTCCATGCGCTTGTGAAAAATCACCTCGAAGTATCTATTGACCATTCCTACAATGGGCCCGATGACTCTGAGAGAAGATTAGAACCCCAGTGAATACGATTAGTGTGGATATACGTACGGGTGAAGGAAAGATGGAAATGCTTTTATGATACTGGCCCCAAAGACGATGGCGTCCGAGCAATGTGCCATGGCATTCAAAAGAGTCTCGTCATCGCTATGTCCTGGTCCAATCGCAAGCACATTGATCATCCGCGACGCCATCTTCTCCATTGCACAGTACAAGTTGATCTCGACCCATCTGTCTGAATCTTCGCCCCAGAGGTCTGCCAGACATGCTCGGGCTTCCTCAGCCAGTGACCTTGCAACCGTGTCCGTCTTGAGGGTTTCCGTCAGATCTTTACTGATGAGCTTGACATAGAAGTCATATTTATTGGCAAAGGCCAGCGGCCAGCTGGTGTACTTCAGTTGAAAAAAGTCAGTAATATAAGCTTTGAAGCTGTATTCATTTTCTTTCGAAAACAGGACGTGCTTGGCCAGGTCTTTTGGAAGAAGAACTTCATCGCCCTCAGCTACGCTGGGCAGCACGAATGGTTTCTGATGTTTGGAGTACTAGATAACAATGATATCAGCAAGAAAGACATGCTTCAGAGGCGTGCCACCAACCTTCTGATAACCCTCGCGAATGAAGCTTATGGGGTTGACGCCAACGAAACGCTCCACAGCACGCCCTAGGAGACTCTTCCTGTTCAGAGCCCGAGGAATGTCATTAGGAACCGGCGAAGTCTCGAAGAGTTTCATGACAAGACACACGCCGACGCCTATGATGCCTATGACGAGCCAGGAGGCGGTGCTGATTCCGAGAAACATGTCTTTTCGTTTGGGATGTGTAATCGATCCTTCAGACTAAGATTAAAACGCCCATTTACCGGATTGGATTGGTCGATACTATAGAGTGATCGCTACGTACAGGCACACCCTTTATGTACTCACAAACATAAGACAACTCTATGGTTTTTGACACATCATAGGCTGCTTCCAGGATTTATCCTATCGATCAATGTATGGGAGCTCTGGAGAGAGCAGGCATATTCAGTTACAAAAGGGCCAACCAACCTTGGCACCGGAGGGCCCCGGTCCATCGACCCTAGGTTGCTCAAAATATTAACAACGCCTGGATAAAAGTTACCGACCAATGAGATACTGGACTGGCTGAACTTTTCCAGCTACCATGAATTAGGTAAACTATAACAGTCAGGTTTACGGGGAGCTATATACTCCTGTCAAAGTCGAAGTGCTTCGGCCTGCATACTCAATGCCATTGGATTGACAATCAGAGGCCAACCCTAAAGCTGTGAATAATGAATCGCCGGGTCACTGCACAAGACCTCCAGCCATTCTAAAATCTTCGGATTGCAAAATCAGAGACCAACTGTTGACTGTCAACGTAGATCCACCTGCTATGAGACGAGAAAACCTTATGCGTCACATATGAGGCATGTCCCCGCAATGCGATGTCCGACCCATTGTAGCAAGGTTTTAAGGCATCCCACATCCATATGTGACTACCCATCCTTCTCTACGACTGGATCCACTGCACCATGTGGTGGTCACGATCATAATCGGGAGCAACCGAGATAATTGGCCCAGTGAGCCCCTTGCCGGTGTGGATCAGCTCGGGCCTGGAGGGTATGGGTGGGTAAGTATGGCTGTAGCACACGGCCACTCGGCCGGAGAGCAGAAACTGCTAGCATCTAGTCCTTTTACTTTGCATATTCTTCGAGAACTACTAGACTACCCCAGACTGGATTCCTGTTAGTCTGATTTCGAAATGCAACCTAGCAGCAAGCGGGCGTGATTGAAACCTAGGACTCGCGAGTCTATTACTAGGATGATTCAGAGATGTCGCCTTTCGTCGTGTTGTTGATGGTTCTGATTCGCGCATAATGTCTGTGCATAACTTCCTGCTGTTATCTGGGCTGTCCAGCTTGACAAGGATACCGGCTTTATTCTGACATGGGCTGCATATAGCATGCGTATAAGATCGCTGCGGCGCACTGCCTTGGGACGACCGACTATGTCCGAAGGCGCTTCTTGTTCATCTCGTACTTTCGACTGTATCGGGGTTGTCCAGCTTGTCTCGTCTCAAGGCTCAGACGATGTTCCTATGATAGTAACTACTTTCGTGCAAGACTATTTTGATAGATGATACCCTGTCGAGAGATTTACTGTAGTCAGGCGCTATCTGATCTGATCCTTTGCTATCTCTGCTGTCTACGTGGCAGATTCTTACCCCTGCCAACACTATCTTGAGATCTAACTATGTCTTTTACATACCAGCGAATAAGTCCCTGCCTATGTCTTGGACTATCCCATAGGCAGTCAGAAGTAAACACTGCCAAAACCTTGTCGACAGCCCTTTTGACTGCATTTCATTCCAATTTGCTTTCATAATTGGTCAGTACTTCTACTTCGTCTCGAGGCAGGAGTAGTCACATATGAGAGTTGTCTCAGACTTATGGTGTAAGCCTGCAGGAAAAGTTCGATGGACGGATAACAGCGAGACGTAGAGATCATTACTCCTGCCCTTCAGCTCCATAAGGAACTTCCCCAAAGATAGGCAGAACTACAAGATGGGAAGTTTCGAGCATCGCTTACCACCTTTCCCCTTAACTTCCCACCTCATGAAGTAAGATGATCAAGGTAGATTCCACGTCGCCTTGACTATGGTGTCTCAGAACCTTTAAATCCACGGTCCTGCTCGCTGAGACATCTCTTTCCAGTCTCATCCATCTCATCTTGACTCTACCTCGTGAATTGACCCGATTGCTTATCGCTGCCTACAGCACCACGCATAACCATGGCCCTTGAAATGATAGTGATTATCTTCTTGCTTCTTGGTTTGGTCTGGTGGTTCATTCAGTCGACTTTGTTCGACCCTTTCCGGTCGGATTAGATATGTCTAGATCAATCTGACATACACTTCCATATAGACATAACAATATATGTGAAGCTTTGAGTCTTCTGCCTACCTTCTAGCAGCATAATCACTGAAGAGCTTGCCTCTAGTCGTATCCTTCAATATGAGGGCTGATTTGATTTCTTCTGAGACAGCATAGATTGACATGATATAGACATATCCATCATGTAATGACGCATTATTCCTCGGAATAAGGCGACATGGTACTGTCGTGGCTTCTATCTGCGATCTCACATTAACTTAATATGCCATCATTGATAGCTGCATAAAAGGCAAAGTTACCATTTCCCTATCGCTGAAGACAATGATTACCATGTATAACGTGACAAATGCCGGATAAAGACGGTTACATAAAGGAGAGCATATGTATTGAGTGTGGCTGAGGAGCGCCACAGCCGGTGGTGTTACTGCTTCTATGACATTTACCAACTATAGCT